TATATATATAGGGCCTACAGGCCTACATCGATATATGTAGATTGAGAGAGTGATGAAATACAGTTCAAAAGAGAGATGAATGACATTACTAATGTCGAAAGATGCATCGAGATTTGCACGAGTTTAATTTGTCGTCACGTCTTGTCGATCGAAGAGACACACATACCTTGGGCCTGTAGAAGACGTTCTGTACGGACAGCATGGAGACAATGGTGAGGATCTCATCAGGGCAACATGCCTCGTCTCAGGGCAACATGCCTCGTCTCAGAACATCATACCTCGTCTCAGAGCAACATGCCTCGTCTCGGAGCAACATGCCTCATCTCGGGGCAACATACCTTGTCTCAGGGCAACATACCTTGTCTTAGGGCAACATACTTTGTCTCAGGGCAACATACCTTGTCTTGGGGCAACATACCTTGTCTCAGGGCAACATGCCTTGTCTCGGGGCAACATGCCTCGTCTCGGGGCAACATACCTTGGGCCTGTAGAAGACGTTCTGTACGGACAGCATGGAGACAATGGTGAGGATCTCGTCAGAACATCCCAGGTGTACGGATAAGATGAGCATCTTGGATAGCTGCGGCTCCAGCGGAAACTCCGCCATCTACCGAGGAAACCAACATGTAAGGATATTATCGACCGCTCCTACACACACGCACGCACTCTATATTTTATTGTATAGGAATCTGCACTGTTATTGTATATCTGCTTGCATCATCCTGCCATTCACTTCTTTTCCTCGTATTGCTGTTTCCAGATAAAAAACAAGGGAACGCTCCAGTGTCTGGACACGTTTGGTCGGAAAGCTGGTGAGACCGTCGCGTTAGTTGGATGTCACGGCATGGGCGGTAACCAGGTACTGTTCCACGTATTAACCCTTTACTATGTGCGTTGGCACAGTGCCAATACTATTCCCCAATGGTGGATATGTGCTTTGGCATGGATCTAGAAGTTGATCCTAGTTCTGTGTGATCAACATGCTATTAGCCATGTTAGCCCGTGCAAATTCTTTTGTTCGAAAAAATTAATGTTGGAGAACTTATAAGTGTTATGGCTTGGAGTAATCATTCTGAGAATGATTATTCCAAGGTTATTGTAGGAAAGTGAGTCTTTGTTTTCTTGCTTATTCAGTTTCATACTTTTATGTTCTTATGTAATTGTTGTTATTTATTATAATATATAATACGATTACTTATTTTATTTCATCGTGCGCATTTAATTTGAATGCATATTCCCTCGCCGCTCGTCGACTATTATTTGTGTTGTGATTGGCTGATTGGTTGTTGGTTCTATTTTAATTGGTGGTTATCATCTGGTGAATGCCTGTCCGCGTTGACTGTACCTGTCACTGGCTTTCACTCTAGGCAGGGTGCGAAATTAACAGGAGTCCAGGGTCAAATACTCCCTGATTTACTGTCGGTCTCCCTGATTTGACATATGCAGGAGTCCGTGTGACTCCGTGAAAATTCTGCTATACTAACTGGTTCGTTCCAGAGCACGGCCTCGCGGAATTACCGTGTTTTTTTCAGCAAATGTCGAAAGAAAATTTGGCAGACGTGCAACCGCATGAATCTACAAAATAAGCACATGCGCGTTATTGATAATATCTTTAATTTTGAACTTAAGTCTGCAGACTACCTCATTTTGCTGTGGACTCCCTCTTTTTGAAGGTAGGGAGTCCGTTAGACTCCCTTGTTTAAAAGTTAATTTCTATCCCTGCTCTAGGTGTTCTCCTATACGAGGAAGAAGGAGATCATGGTTGATGACAACTGCCTTGATGCTTCCGGCTCAGGACCTGTGAAGATGACGCGTTGCCATGGCCACGCCGGTAACCAGCAGTGGCAATACGACCAGGTGGTAAGTCGTGCGCGCGAGGCATTTAGCAATACATACTTCATAATACATAGAATAATATCATATTATAATACATAAAAACATAATCTGGTTGCCATGGCCACGGCAGTAACCAGCAGTGGCAATACGACCAGGTGGTAAGTCGTGCGCGCGAGGCATTTAGCAATACATACTTCATAATACATAGAATAATA